AAATATAAAGTCTAAGTCTAGGCATGGTGTTATGCACCTGTAATCCCAGCACTCAGGAGGCTAAGCAGGAGGATCACTGTGAATTTGAGGCCAGCCTGGGCTACACAGTGAGTTCAAGCTCAACCTGAACTGCATAGCAAGACCTTATCTCAAAAACAAAAAACAAACCTAAAGATCTAAAATCTCTCTTACCCTTTTTGTCTTTTATTCCTTTGACTTCATTCTTCAGTCTTGGTCACTAAATGTCAACCAACTTTAAGCCTCACTTTTGTCTTATACATTATGAAAATGTGCTTTTATTTAAAGAATAAAGTTCAATATTAATAAAGTTCAAGTTTCTCATTTTTACATTAAAATATATGGGGTTTTTAGCTTACAAAAGAAATACTTACAAAATCAAAAAGTCATGCAGTAGTATGTATAGACGAATGCCGTCCACATTGCTGTGTCTCAGACTTTAAAAAAGTCTGTAGTTACTACTCTGGTGTGCATCACAACTTGTTCTTTCCCCGTGTGTTTGCTAAGACACATCTGTACATCTGTGTGTATGTGTTACCAAGTGCGTGGGAAATGTGTGTGTGTGTATTTGCATATGTGTGTGTACAGATAAGATTAAACTATATATATGTGTGTGTGTGTGTGTGTGTGTGTGTGTGTTTTAATAACATCTAAAATTATACTTCAGTATTTATAGATCTACTTCATTATTTTTTGCAATTCTATATTATTTTTTAAATGGATATACTATAATTAAACATTTCTCCATCTTTAGACATTTATTTAGCTTGTTGATTTATTTATTTAGTCTGTAGATTTTCATTATTTACATTGGTGAAGGAAAAATGTTTGCTTTTTATTCATTATATTATGGGAGTTTTTTCTGTAGGATGACTTCCTTGAAGTAGAATTACAAAATTAGATACTTTTTAATATTTATTTAAAATGTTTAGCAGAGTGTGGTGGCACATGCCTGTAATTCTAGCACTCAGGAGGCTAAAGCAAGAGGATTGCTACAAATTTGAGGCCAGCCTGGGCTCTATAATGAATTCAAGTCTAGCCTAAACTACATAACGAGACCCCACCTCAAAAACAAAAAATAGAATCAAGCCTGACAGCCTGAAGCACAGCTTGCTTCCTTTAAGGGGCATGGACTCTGGTTAAGAAGAAAGCCAGGCGCAGATCAAGGTAGATCTGTACCATCAGGAAATTAACTTCAAAGCCTGGGCCCCGATCCACCGCGGGAAGGAGAACCACGCCTGCTCCCGACCCAGCCGCCATCACTCAAGCGCAGGGAGGTAGGCCGGCCCCGATCCACCATGGGAAGGAGGACCACGCCTGCTCCCGACCCAGCTGCCATCGCTCAAGCGCCGGGAGGTAGGGCGCCCCTGAACCCCCATAATTCCTCCCCCACACTCTCAGTCCTCCTGACTGTGCAAGTCTTTGGACCCACTCTGAAAAGACAGAGGTGGTCATCAAGGGTATTTACGCCAGCACTAGCGCAGGGAGGTAGGCCGGCCCCGATCCACCATGGGAAGGAGGACCACGCCTGCTCCCGACCCAGCTGCCATCGCTCAAGCGCCGGGAGGTAGGGCGCCCCTGAACCCCCATAATTCCTCCCCCACACTCTCAGAGCTCCTGACTGTGCAAGTCTTTGGACCCACTCTGAAAAGACAGAGGTGGTCATCAAGGGTATTTTTCTGAGTTCCCAACTTTGAACATCTTTAAAGAAAGGGCGTGGGAAACCTGTAATAGAACGTTGCGGAGTTCAACCATTCAGAAGGTTGGGGAACTCAATCTGGGCTTTGCAGCCCGAGGTCAGTCAGTGTCATGGGGTTCAGCAATCAGCTAACTGAGATCAGGGGTCTTGCATCCTTGCTCTGTCTGAGCCATTAAATGCTAAATATACTATACTGAAAAGTTTGTTCACTGCAGACATGTTCTGGACTGCTTCTTGATTTCAATTTAATTCAAATGATTTAAGGGTGATAGACTAGTGACTACCACAGGTGGTCAGTGTCCAAGTTGTGCTTGATCTTAATGTGTTGCTGATTGTATCAGTTGGGGTAAAGCATTGCCGTTGATTTGATGAGCTGTTTTCTCTGATGTTATGAAGATGAGAATGTCTGTGGGTC